TAAAAAAGCGGACGCTTCTTTACTACATCAGTAGCACAGTAGGCCGTTCTTGTGGGTCTCGCAACTAGGTGTGAAACAGATCGCCGTGAGAAGCAGGAAGAACAAGAAGGACGAACAACAGCACCAACCAAACCAACCAAACAACCCAGCGAAACAACCCAGCAACAACCAAAAGAAACCAAAAGCGACCAAACTGCTAGGTTCCCCGCGCGCTCAGTACTCAACATCGTCGAAAATAGTCCAAGAGCACATCCATGCCGCACCAAAGCTGTGCAGAGAGATCGCAAAATGCGATTGTCTGCCAGAAAGTCAAAACCACCATCTTATAGACATTTGCTCAACGTCAATCTGCGGAGATATCCGCTAACCTCAGTCAGCGGTGCCACTAAGCCAAGCAATGCCGGATTGCCACGCCTCAACAGTCGGTCATCCATCGCAAGATCACAAGAGAAGCCAGGACAGGGGCCAACCTTTCCAGCAGGAAGGGTTGGCCGAACGTGCCCCATGGTGGTCAGCCAGTGGGGACTTCAACCTAGCAAGCAATTGTCAGCGGTGTGCAGGACCAGCCCAGGGCACCCCATTGTGATCAGCCAGTGGGGCCAGCCCTGAGCAACAACATCGAAGAACTATGATAGCTCCAAGCTCCAAGCACAGCCAAGCCATGTTTGACAGAAGTGCTTACGCAAGAGCAGAGGGAACTGTAGCAGAGAAGTCTAGAGTGGAAAGGTGGCATGCTTGCCACAGCGGGTGCGACATGGCACTCGAGACTCACGACCGGTACCCATGCCACTTCTGGGCCTTCCGGAGGCAATTTGGTCAGCAATTTGAGAAGCCTAATCATTCTGGGCCTTCTGGAGAAGACTTCTTCGTCGCAGCATAGGGCGGAAGCCTCTTCGTGTCAGTTCTTATGCAGGGACACTCCGGTTTCATGTTAAGGCTGCACTCCAACCCGCCTGGCACGCTCCCGACAGGATCTGGGCTGATGTGCGCACCTGCAAGCACGTCTGCCAGGAAGGGCCTGTGCAGCTTGAGCCTGTGCATTTGCGGACACCTGCGAGCACGCCTGACCCGGAAGGGCCTGTGCACCAGTGTGTTGGATCAGCTTGTTCCAATGGGCATCTGCCAGAGCCGGAAGCCGAAAGGGGATGCATACATCCACTTCTCGCAAGGCTGCCAAGTTCGTCCAGTGCAGCTCCGAAAAACACCAATTTTGCACTTGCAGTTCCACCTCTTCAGCCTCAGGGCAGGCAGAGGCAAGAGCCGATGGCGAGGCTTCGTCAGCCTCCGAGGAGCTGCTGTGTACAACCAGCAGAGCCTCTTCATGTGCCGCCGCGGAGGGCTCCGTGACATATAGCACTGAGAGGAGCCCTTCTAACGGGAGGACCCTACGGAAGGAAACAACAACACGTGACGTGATCCGGCCACTCTAGGTTGTAAATCGACCAGAAGTGCTCCAAAGCTTGGTTGGCCACAGAAGCCGAGAGAGCCTGCCGTATGGCATCCAGGAAATGCACGGGAGGTGCGTTTGGTTGAAACGCGCAAAATTGGCGCTGCCCCAGCGCATGCGATCCCTCCAGGTTGACTCTCACGAAAGCATTGATGGCGGGCATTTGCTCCTTTCGGGCAGCTTCAAGGCTAGTTCGCCGGGCACAATCCACCCACGTGCACAAGCGTGAACTCATCCACTTGTCCTTGTATCACAGGCGACCCATCCAGGTCTCTCTCGTACACCGTGTGGGCAGGTGGCCTTCGATCTGCACGTCCCGCCAACAATGCTACGGTGGCTGCCGGTGTGAAAAATTCTCCTTGTTATGTTTGCCCAGTTGGTGCCATGTTGTCTTGACGGTACAGAGAGAAGCATGAGAGTTTTTCTGCTGCATGACTTGGCATGAGCGAGCGTAGCTCCGAAAAACGCCAATTTTGCACTTGCAGTTCCACCTCTTCAGCCTCAGGGCAAGCAGAGGTTAGAGCCGATGGCGAGGCCGCGTCAGCCTCCGAGGAGCTGCTGTGTACAACCAGCTGTCACCTAACCTCTATCTCTACGTACTAATAACCCCTATCATCCTGGTACTCGCTTCACTTCATTCTCTTCACTCTCTTCATGCTTACAATATTAATATAATGGTAAGGGACGCACGCATTATATTAATGTTGTACGCAGTGAAGTGTGAAGAGAGAAGTGAATGGTGTGCGTGAAAAGCCCCAATAAAATAGTAAATTCGTGCGTTAACTTACAATTTACTATATTAAGGGGGCTCACGCACTATATTCACGCCCCACCTGTCAGTCTTGCCCATGAATCCGCCCTTGAGACCCTAACTCTCATATCTTGGTCTAACCGTTCACACCCTGAGACTCATTCATACTGGCTCATGAAGGTACAATTGATGGACAAGGAACCCACCCTCGGGACCCCACTCATAAGTCCATCCATTTCCAGGGGCTTTTTATTCGGGCGTTTCACTTCATTTTATTACATTATTTCCCCGGGCCTATATTATTCTCTTCTTACTGCCCGGGCATGCTAATAATAAAGGTTTTTGTTTCGTTTACTTCGTTCGTGCTTACATTCACTGCACGCGTCATTCTATTCCTTGTCAGTTCATTTCATTCTCACTTCGTATTAATATTAAAAGAGCGTAGTGATCACGGATACAAATGAAGAGAGTGAAAAGAACGTAATGCGTGAGCCGTGTGAACTAGCGAACGAAACCACCATTCCTTTTAATATAAAATTACTGGCCCGTTCGTATCTTTTCTATCACTAGTTAAAAATTGTAATCCTAAAGGCTTAGGAATTTATTATTTATTATCTGGATTCATCTTTGGAATCTCCGGAACATAAATATCAGTCCTTATAAGAATAGAATTATATTCATCAGGAAATAGGATTATATCTCCAGAAAACCAGAACTTCTATAATATAAGCATTACATTGCATGGCTTTCTTATGATCTTCTTTTTAGTAATGCCTGGCTTGTTTGGAGGATTTGGAAATTATTTTGTACCTATCTTTCAAGGGTCTCCAGAAGTGGTATATCCTAGAGTCAATAATTTTTCTATCTTAATTCTTTTCCTTTCATATCTTTTCCTAATCCTTTCTATAATCTCAGAATTTGGAGGTGGTACAGGATGAACATTTTTTCCACCATTATCCACTTCTTTTATGACTTTATCACCTTCAAGTACAGGAAATCTTATATTTGGATTATTAATCTCTGGTATATCTTCATGTCTTACATCTCTTAACTTTTGGACAACAATTCTAAATCTGAGATCTTATTATCTGACATTAAAGACTATCCCATTATTTCCTTGGGCTTTCTTGATTACAGCTTTCATGCTTTTATTAACATTACCAATCTTATCTGGTACACTTCTTTTAATATTGGGTGATCTTCATTCTAATACACTTTTCTTTGATCCTATATTTGGAGGAGATCCTATATTCTATCAACATTTATTTTGGTTTTTTGGACATCCAGAAGTTTACATCTTAATAATTCCTGCATTTGGGATCATTTCCATAATAATTTCTGGGATTTTACAATTAATAATCTTTGGTAACCAATCAATGATCTTTGCCATGTCATCTATTTCTCTTCTTGGAAGTCTTGTTTGGGGGCATCATATGTATACTGTAGGTTTAGAAAGTGATACAAGAGCTTATTTTACAGGAGTTACAATCTTAATATCCTTACCAACTGGTACAAAAATCTTTAATTGGCTTTTTACATATCTTGGAAATCCACCATTATTACACCTTAGAATTAGTTCTGTCTTCTTCTCACATCTCTTTTATTAATGTTTACTATAGGTGGTTCTACAGGAATAATTCTTGGAAATGCTGCAGTAGATCTAGGATTACATGATACATATTATGTTGTAGCACATTTTCATTTTGTTGGAGCTATAATTTCTATCTTCTCTGGAATAATTTTTAATGGAGAAAAGATTGTTGGTACTAAGAATTTATTATCTACATTTAATATTTATTGGTATTCTTCTTACCTTTTCCCCAATGCATTTCTTAGGATTTAATGTTATGCCAAGAAGAATCCCATCCTTTCCAGATTCTTTTAATTCCTGGAATTCCCTGTCATCTATTGGATCAGGAATAACTTTCCTATCTTTTGGTTGTTTTACTATTAAGGGGGCTTTTGTAATAATAATATTGTGGCCCCCTTAAAATCCTTTGTTTCACTTCGTTCTCTCCATTATTGTATTTCGCGCGTTTTTAATTCCTTGCAAATACAATAATACGGGCTAGTTAATTTATCGTAAAAATTGGCAAACTCTTCGAAACGTAGAAATGCAAGTATCATTCCCATGAGAATCCCGGTTCTACTTGCACAACAAGAAGCACATGCGAACTCCCATCTTTTTCCAATGAGGTGCAATCTCCCAGCATCTGGAAAACACAATCTCGCTTCGGTCCAACCGAAGTGAGAAGGTTAGGACGAGCACCAAGCTCCCGATCGCCCCAGGCGACTACAACCCCGGGTGGGCGGGCGGGTGAAAAATTTTCAAGCCCCAAGCTTGAGCGACAAACATGCCACACATGTTCACAACTCATGCAACAAGCACTGAGAAGCTGTTACGCATGTTGGCAAGAAAAGTACAAATCCAAAAGATGCAGGTACCAAACCTTGCTCTTACAGACATGTACGTGAACGTGAAAATATAAAGACAACGTTTCAAAGAGATTTCTTTTTCTACCCCAGGTAGAAAAACAATTTGCCAATCCTAAACGATAAAGCACTATCGCATTCGCGAAATGGCTCTTATCGTAAAAATTGGCAAACTCTTCGAAACGTAGAAATGCAAGTATCATTCCCATGAGAATCCCGGTTCTACTTGCACAACAAGAAGCACATGCGAACTCCCATCTTTTTCCAATGAGGTGCAATCTCCCAGCATCTGGAAAACACAATCTCGCTTCGGTCCAACCGAAGTGAGAAGGTTAGGACGAGCACCAAGCTCCCGATCGCCCCAGGCGACTACAACCCTTTCACATGCTGGGCGATCGCATCCCTTCCCTCCAAGAGGGATGCCAGAGGTTCACACGTCCAGTCCAAGTGTTCACGCCTGAATGAATCATCATACTGCTCGAAGGCCAACCTAGAGGCAGCGTCACTGATGTTTGCACACGACGGCACTCTTGAGTACCAGTTGTAAGCCTTGAGCTCTTGGTCCAGCACAAGGGAGTGGCTCACAATTTCAAAGGTATCATCCACCGCAGAAGAGCCACTAGCGAATGCAGCCTTGGCAGATTCATTATCCAAGAACCATAACACTTTCCGATGTACCAGCAGGAGGCGCCACAAAGTTTTTGCAGCCAGGACCGGCAGCGCTTCTGCTTGGCCTACCAACTGCGTCTTTCCCCCTTGCCTCCATCGATCTAGTAGCGGTTCAGGGACAGGTTCACCGAAAAACTTCTTGACTTGCTGCAGGGGATCAATGAGTACTGCACCATGCGTAGTCAAGAGACTCTTGGATTCGCACGCGCCATCTGTGAAGACCAACACCGGGCACTCTGGTTGAAGGAAACACACTTCACGGGCTTCTGAGCGAGCTAGTAGGTCCGCAGCACCCCGGATGACATCAATCTCCTTCCGAGTCAGTTTTACGGGACCACCAATCGCCAGCTTGCGTGAGAGCACCCTGGTTGCCAGCACTGCCACTCTCCCAAACGTGTGTGAAGAGGCATACATCATCCTGCCTCGGAGCTTGGCCAGGAGCCCTGGATGAAGGGTGCCCTCCTGGCAGATCTTTTCCACCAACTCCAGAATGGCGGCAACTCGACCCTCCTTGTTCGCTACGCGAAGAAGGCCACGACACGCTTCATTCAAATCAAGCTGTACTCCAAGAATGGTAAAGAGCTTTGCAAAAGGAAGTGCTTTGTGTTCATCATTCGCCACAGACCACCCAAGCAACTGCATCACAGCCAAAGCAAGCTCATGCGACGTCTCCACCAAACAGTCCAGCTCCAGATGACAAAAGTCATCGTAAAAGTTGGACACCACTAATCGGAAGACTTTGACCAGGATCTGCCTTACACCTTTCGCCACTCTGTTGAAGGCTCCAACCGCGTGAATGGAGCCAAAAGGCAGTGTCGTGAATCTGTAGTACTCAAATCTTTCTAGCTTCGGGTTCCACACAGCCAGGATGGCTGCCCATCCATGAGCAGGGTCAATCGCAAGTTGCTTATAAGCACTCTTCAAATCCATCGCCCGGCCCGAAATCCCTTGCAGGGAGGTTGGCGCAAAACGGGCAACTGCATGACCAAACGCACGGGCAATATCAACGATGACGTCGATATCTTGAAGAGTGAGCTTATCATTGGTTCCACAAGAAGAGTTAACCATCGAGGCACTGAGGTCGTCAATACCTCGGACTTTCCTCCCCTGATCAATGCCAAACCTCCGGGATGGCACCCAACCATCAGGAAAGAATCGATCAAGTTCCTCCTCCGAGAAGGGCCCTAGCAACCAACCAGAGCCATCCGAGGCTTGCAGACTTGCTTCATCTGCTACCGATTGCTCCACCTGCACATCACGGCCACCTCGTTGAGCGTTCAGCCTACCGCGCACCCAGGGCGCAAGCAGACGCAGCTCTTCTGGCGAAATGGATGCAGGAGTGTACAGAGGTGGGAATTGGCCCGAGGCTGGGACCTCCCCAACGAGGCTGAATCCGTTAAGCATCTCCTTCACTAAGTGCTTATCTTGTATCCCCGCCTCATGGAGCAAAGCCTGAAAGAGGAGTACTCTCTTCCCCCTTAGCACCGCTCGCACCTCTGGATGCAGAGAGGCATGAAGGGCCTTCTCTTCCTTAGCCAACCCGGAAGCCAAGTGGAGAAAGCGCTTAAGTTGGCCAGCTCTAAACGCACAAACCTCACTGGGTGAAGAAGATGCAATCCAGTCAACAGTTTCTTTGATGGCAGTGTCACTGCACGCAAAGGTGTCACAAGGATGTTTACACTGAAGCGCAGCGTCCACAAACCCTTGCACGTTCCAGGGCAAAGCATAATACACGACCCGGCTTGGTTCAACCATAGCTGAATGCTCTCCTGGGCATAACACATCTGGTTGCTGCAGTTCCTCCCTTTGCTGTTCGGGCGCTTCCCCCCCTCGCAACTGATGAACAGCGGCAGAAAGGGCTCGGCCCCCGGAAAGCAGGACCGAACCCGAGGCAACATGAGGAAAGCCAGGCAACCCGTCAGGGGGCACTTTCGCGGGCAACTCAACCGGCGAGGGCACACGAATCCGGTAGACAGCTCGAAATTCCGGCACTAAGGGCGGGAATTTGCTAGGGCGAAAGGAACCTTCAGTGGCTGCACTGGCGACGCGCAGAGGCAAGTCAGCGATCGCGGAATGCAAAAAGGGCAGGGCGACCTCAGCAAACGCATCACAGAACCCAGAGGGCAGGAATCGAGTCACTTGAGCAGGCGGTGCATCCCGCGACCAAGGCAAGTGAGTATGGGAGTTATCACAGCGGCGTGACAAAGACGCGAAGGCCGGCACATTGTGCAGAAAGGTCACAGACAACACGCGTTCCGCGCCCCACATACACAGGTCCACCTCAAAGCAGCCACAGCAGGCACGGAGGTGCAGCCACTCCGACGACGCCCAACGCCGACTCCGAGAAGGCATTCCAACACAGAAGGGCAGCCGGACCTGCAAGCATGCACGGATGGCCCGTAGCACAAAGGTTCCCAGGTCATCGGACTTGCCTCCCAGTGGGAGCACAATGGCAAACAGCAGAGCAGCTTGGCGGCGCGAGAGGCGATCCAAGAGCAGGTCAGCCTGCAGGGCGACCTTGGGGTCAAGGCGACAGACCGGGACACGCCCTCCACGAGGCCGATGATGAAAAGCAACCGCGTGCACGTGCCTAGCTCGCAAGGCAGCTGTGACCAGTGGCGGGTCGGCAAATAACTCAAGCGCCACAGGGCCCAAGGGATTAGACACATCTGCCACAGGAGCAGGCACTCCAGTCTCCCGAAGCAAGCGAGCAGGCAACTCGAAGCCAAGGCAGGATAACTGCCTGGCATCCTCCATGCCCAGCACCCCGGAAGGGGCAATGGAGAAAGCCACAATCATCACCCGATGTCCCGCCCACGGTAAGGTGAAATGCTCAAAGTCACGGGCAGGCAGAAAGCACGGCTGACAGAAGGGATCCAGCAGTCGGCCCTTGTACTCAACGCCATCAAACACCGCAGAATCCTGGCCCGTACCATCAAGGACGAAAACCTGACCACCCGAGAAGGTGCCAACAGGTACAAGCAAGTTGGGCTCCGGCCCGTTGTTGGCATCGCGATGTTTGGCAGTCTGAACATTGAAAAAGACCACCACGGAAGTCCAGACATGATCGGAGGCCGTCTGGCGCACCACCGCGTTAAGGACACGCGTCACAAACGGAAACAATCGGTTATTGCGACGCAACCCCCATCGAGACCCCTGGATCCAACAGCCCGTGCCGAAAGCACTGCCTGTGGCAGACTGTCGGCTAGAAGCTTCATGCGGGAGCAACTCGCAAAGGCTAGAGATTGCATCATTGGAAAAATCGTCAATAGACAGCATTTGTTCGGCAAAAAGCTCGGCTGGATGCCGAGAGAACACGGAAGCAAAAGTGCACTGGTCACTGAGAGCAGCACGGCCAAAACCTTGGGAAGCGACAGAGCTGCTCCCCGTTGTGTCGACAACTGCCTCCACTCCATCAGGAGGGGGGGGCAGCCGAGCACCGGAGGCCCCAGGGCCTAGTCACGAGGAGGGCTTATTCGGACAATCCAGGAAGGCATGCTTGCCGAAACATCCGGGCACACAACACACATGCTCACCTCGATTGCAATCCAGGCAGTCGACACCCCCATTGCTGCAACGCTTCAAGTTGAAGGACCAACACAGAGGCTTACCTTTCGGATTCGTGGGGACCCCACCCCGGAGGGCAGCAGGCATATAAGGCTGTTTGGACCCCTTACTCGAACCCTTGGGCTTGCGCGCAGCCGCAGCCGCAGGCGCGGGGGTGGCGGCCGGCTGGCTCCGGTTGCGCTTCCGCTTGCGACCAGATCCTCCGCCGGGAGTGGACCCAGCACGCGGATGTCCTTCCCTGGGAAGCAAGAGTTGCTCAACGGATCTCATGCGAAGTACGGGGGCCACGAAGCGATCCAGGGGCAGGGAACCATCAGCCCCTGGAGAGAAACCGTCACGACACTCTTCCGACAAGCGAAGGTGGATCTCACGATCACAAGCTGCGACTTGGGCCATGTTAACCCTTTGGTAGCCCTCCGGCGGAGTGCTTTGATAAGCATCAAAGAGATGGAGGATCAAGGACTCATGGGCCTCAAAGACATCAGGCGCGCAATCGCATAACACACACCCCTTCGTCGCAGGGCGTTATGGACATCCAGCTCCGAGGCAACTGTCGCACGCAAATGATTGGGGGCCATGACCTCACGCACAACACCATTCTTATCAGGCTTCCAAGCTTTCAGCATCGGATCCTCAGTCGTGCTGTTGACCTCCTGGGTGCGAGTAGTAAGCTTGTGCCACTCAACATACCGCAGACGATTCTCATCAAGCATTTGGGCAAAGATGTTGATGGCAGCATGGGAAGGTTCCAACACACCCTGCAACTTCAGAGGGGACAACTTAGGGGCCAGGATTGTGAGTCGGGCACCGATCTCAGCAACAGGCAACTTGCGGGGGGCCACATCCTCAGCAGAGTCCAGCTTCTTTTTCAGGTCCGCAGCCGTGAGAGTCCAACTCTCCCAGTGCAGGCGACGCAAGGCCGCTTCATGGGCCCCGAACTGAGCTCCTAAGACGGAATCGAGCACAACCTGTAGCGCTGCTTCGGCCCCTTGTTGTCCGGGCATAACCTTAGGAGCATGAGCAAAATTGGCAAAGGTTGCCCAGCCCCGATCCGAAAGGACCTGGATGACGTCGGCAGGCAGTTCAATGGCCAAGCACCTCTGCCTAAAGGTAGCACTGGAGTCAACGTAAGACATGGCCCTAGTCTGACTACACGCGATCCTCGAACAGCAAAACTGGCAGGTCAAGCGTGGGCTGTTGCTGCATGCAGTAAAGTCACAACCGTCTGCCTGCAGTAAAGTCAAAATGCATTCCGCATGCGCAACTCATTTTTCTGCAGTAGCACACTACGCAGGACATTTGGCATTCCTGGCAAAGCTAGGGTTGCGCATTGCACAGCAAGACACCTTGGGCAAAACGTAGGATAACTACAACCCAAGCGGCAGCAACAACCCTAGCGGAAAGGAGGCGGCGGGCAAAACGGGAAGGCTCCTAGCAAACCCCTAATCGCCGCGAAAACAGGATGCGCATGGGTTCAGAAGCACTGCAGGTCGGTTGTCCAACTTGCTGTGCGCACTGGTGGCCAAACGCCCACACAGGAAAACAACTGCGTCATCATCACAGACTGCTTGGGCACAATGAATCGTTCCTCGAGCATCGTGCCGAAAGTAATGAAGACTGTCAAGAACAGCAGGTCCATTCAAGACGCACGTCTCACGACTGGCAGCAAGCTGCCCAGCGTCATCTTCCTTCCCGGACCCCGAGCTTTCATCATCCGAGCTAGAGGAGCTGCTGAGTTCGGATGAAGAACTCCGGAGGAGAGCCGACACTCGCTTGGACCTTTTTGCAGCCGGCTCGGCTTTGGTATCCAGCTGGGCAAGTGCAGAGTTGAAGTCGGTACAGCCTGTCCACCGCCTGAGACGCGGGAGATCTGGATCAAACAGACCTGCTCGAATAATTTGGAGAACTTGTTCGATGTTTCGAAGAATATCGGCAGCAGCATCATGACCATATTCAAGCTCAGACCGTCCCGCTTTGCCAACATGATATCCAGCACGCCTTTGAAGCTTCGGCGGTGCACCCACTTTGGTCAACCAGGACAGAACTGTGGCCTTTGCTGAGTGTGTGCCAAGATCCACCAGTTCATCAGCTGATGCAGTGCCACACAGCAGTTCACGTAACCAGACACACGCATCAGACGAAGAAAGCTTGAACGCATGGAACGTCCCATCCGGAGTCGGAGATGGCATCATGGGGTCATCTTCACTGGCAATCAAACCCATCGCCTTACGATTCTCCATCCACTTCAGGAGCCAATCATCTTCCAACAACCCGGGCCCCGTGGCCGACGCGGGGAGCAGCCGGAAGACCGTGGCACGCCTCCTGGATGAAGTTTTGGTTCCATAAAGTCCAAAGTCTATAACCGACTTTCCCTCATACGCATCAACAGTGGGCTCGTTATAGCACATCTGCAGATCGGAGAAGCGCAGTCTTGCATAAATCAAGGCACACATGTAGCCTGCAAATATGGCTGCCACTGAAGGCTCCCCACAAGCAATACTCTCCAAGCGCTTCACCTGGGCGACGGTGAAGGGTGGTCTCTTGCGCAGTGCTCGTTTCTTGACAGCCTCCACCGTAGCACCAGTAACTCTGCTCGAAATTTGGACAAGGCATGTCTCAGCTCCAAGCAAAGTGCAAGCAAATCTGGCTGATTGCACAAAACGCTCTGCTTTCGTAGGCGGGGCTGAGTTCTCCCTTAGGAAACAGACGTAATTGTACAATCTGACCTCTTCAAGTGGAAAGATGGTAATGCGGTCAACATAGCTGACTCGAACCCAGCGAAGATACTGCAGTAGCGAGCCTGCTCTGGATCGCAAAGTTGCCGTCGCCTTGCGAGCAAAGACATCCAACAGGATCTTCTTTGCGGTCTCATCGTCTGGAGCATTTATCACCAGAAGCCCAACAGGGGTCGAGGCAGCACCAGCCACTATGATTGTGGACCACAAGGCAATGGCTCTTGCACGATCACCACTCTCGCACACTGGTAACCTGCATGACCCGGAGGTACGAGGCACAAAGGATGGTACTGTTGGACATTCTGCACCAACAACATCGTTCACTTGCACTGAGGGCACTGATGGTGGTCCCTGCGGCACAGCTCCAACAAGTTGCTCCTCACGGAGCAGATCAGGCCAACAGGAATCCAGCTGCGTGATGAGACCGACTCTCGACACAGCTGCACGTAGTTCCAAATCAAAATCCATAGCCCATAGCACGAAGGAACCACTCAAGGACCACGTAAAGGAGACCCCAAAAGCTTACAAGAGGAATCCAAAATCCACCCCTAATGCAAATGAAGCTCAAGTCACCTACAACACCATGCAGTGGTGCTCGAGAGCTGTCACTCCAGGAGGATGCAAAGTGGTGCTCCAAGCTGTCACTGTGAAAATATGGCACCCAAGTATTTTGCCACGCTTTGTAGAACCGTGGCATAATGCAACTTCCACCAGAAACAAAGCACTTTTTGCAGGATATGGCCCCGGAGAGTATTTTGCCACGCTTTGCAGAACCGTGGCATAATGCTTGGTTCGGGCACAGCCGAATCACTATATTGCACAAACTCAGGCGCACCCCCCAAAAGCTTACAAGAGGAATCCAAAATCCACCCCTAATGCAAATGAAGCTCAAGCCACCTACCACACCATGCAGTGGTGCTCGAGAGCTGTCACTCCAGGAGGATGCAAAGTGGTGCTCCAAGCTGTCACTGTGAAAATATGGCACCCAAGTATTTTGCCACGCTTTGTAGAACCGTGGCATAATGCAACTTCCACCAGAAACAAAGCACTTTTTGCAGGATATGGCCCCGGAGAGTATTTTGCCACGCTTTGCAGAACCGTGGCATAATGCTTGGTTCGGGCACAGCCGAATCACTATATTGCACAAACTCAGGCGCACCCCCCCTTTAGGCCACAAAGTAGAGCAAGAAGTCGAGGAGCAAGGGGCGCGATCACGACCTGCAAGCGCAGACAAAGCAAGAAAATAGGCATGCACCACACAAATCTGAGCCAAGGGCGCGAAAGCTCAAGTCCTGCACTCTCACCAAGAGAGATAGACCTAGGTGCCGAAAGGCGGCCCGAGGAGCAGGAGAGCAAGCGCCAAGATCACCAAGATCCCGACAAAAAGAAAGCGAGGAAGAAGTCACCCGGTGACCTGGTCCCATCGTAAGACACAGAGTCTACGATGCAGCACCCAGAGAGGCCCGGCCTCACGCTCCCACTGCTCGAGCAGATAGCGAGCAGCACCTGAGAAAAACACTCCACTCGCAGTCGCCCAGCGACAGCCTAGGAGTTACACTCAGCAGCAGGCCTGCACATCCCAAGCAGCAGGCACCCCAGGTCCCTCTACGATCCCTCCTGCAAGCCCAAGCAGTGCACGACCAGCTCAGCCCTAGGAGAGGAAGCTGCAGGGGGTCCTTGCAGCAAGCCGTAACAACAATGCTGCACATGGGCTCAGAAGGGATCAGTCAGGCGCCGGACGGCCTACATCCGCATGGAACATAACACAGGACTGTCCGACAAACTTCCCAGAAGCTCAGCACAAAAGACTAGCAACAGTGCAGCTCGGTCAATGTTAGGCTCGCGTAGGGTTTCGCATGAAAAAGCTGCGAAATCAAAACAGCGGGCCAGGAGCCACCGCGCAAAGCAGGGGACTACGAGGAAGACCTCTCCAAATCTCGTAACCGGCGGAGCACATTGCGGCGCGGGCTACGGCTTGATTGCACGGTGCCAACCACCTCTTCCAGGGTTGACAGGCGCTCTTCCAGAGCACGCAGCATAGTCATCACCTCTTCAGAGCACGGCAGCGGCGGCACCGGAGTCGTCGGCGCAGACCCGCATAAAGGACCTGGCGTGGGCGGAGCCCAAACGACAGAAACAGGAGGCATATGCACAAAGGCCTGGAGGGAAGACACAGTTTGGGCCGTGAAGCAAGAGTGGCGACCGGCTTGCAGGCACACACGGCATAGGTGCTGCAGCTCAGCAACAGTAGCACGCTGGAGCAATGCGGCAGATAAAGGGATCATTCCAGAAATAAGGCTCCGCAGGTATGGCAAGGAGAGGTCCAAGGGCGTCAACGGTGCTGACTCAGACGCCAGAGCAGAGGGATGCTCAGCCCACAATGCAACTTCAGCCTCGATGCCATCACGGTCTGGTGCCTCGCTATCAGTATACGGGCCGCTGAAAGGGCCGGAGGGGTCTCGCACCGCCTGGCTACACCAGTAGGACAAACAGACCAGGAGGCCGAGGACACGGAATGCCACAGGCATGCTTCACAGCAAAAGAAGCAAGGCCAGGAAAGAGAGCACGCCAAGACAAAAACCACAGCAGCAGGAAAGGAAGCTCGGAGCAAACCCTGCCTTTGCACACTGTGGCTGAAGCACGAGAAAGTGCCGGGCAGATGCAGCACGATGCCGCAAAACGCGTCTTTCCATCCACCGCCCCACGGGCTGGCTTGCACGTGCCCTAGTGGCAGTTCCCTTTGTTGGCCAGGCCTGTTCGGAAGCAAACCTGTTTGAGGCCTCACAAAGTTAAGCAAAAGCAGTAGGCCCACACACTGAAAAATTTTCAAGCCCCAAGCTTGAGCCAAAATGGCTACGTGAAAAATTTTCAAGCCCCAAGCTTGAGCGACAAACATGCCACACATGTTCACAACTCATGCAACAAGCACTGAGAAGCTGTTACGCATGTTGGCAAGAAAAGTACAAATCCAAAAGATGCAGGTACCAAACCTTGCTCTTACAGACATGTACGTGAACGTGAAAATATAAAGACAACGTTTCAAAGAGATTTCTTTTTCTACCCCAGGTAGAAAAACAATTTGCCAATCCTAAACGATAAAGCACTATCGCATTCGCGAAATGGCTCATAAAGCCCGTGCGATATTAATATAATGAACATAACACCCCGGCCTCATTCCCCCAGTAAACGCCCTATTAAAAGTAGTAAATTCGTGCGGTTCCTTACAATTTACTATTTTAATGGGCTTTTTGCTGGGTCATTCCTGGTGTTCACTGACCGGTTATTCCACAAGCTCAGGATACAACTTCTGGATGATAAAGAGCCTCTTCATGTGCCGCCGCGGAGGGCTCCGTGACATATGGCACTGAGAGGAGCCCTTCTAATGGGAGGACCCTACGGAAAGAAACAACAACACGTGACGTGACATCCGGCCACTCTAGGTTGAAAATCGACCAGAAGTGCTCCAAATTGGCCACAGCAGCCGAGAGGGCCTGCCGTATGGCATCCAGCTGAAACGCGCAAAATTGGCGCTGCCCCAGCGCATGCGATCCCTCCGGATTGACTCTCACGAAAGCATTGATGGCGCTTTCGGGCAGCTTCAAGGCTAGTTCGCGGGCACAATCCACCCACGCGCACAAGCGTGACTCATCCACTAGTCCTTGTATCACAGGCGACCCCTCCAGGTCTCTCTCGTATACCGTGCCGTGCGGGGGCAGGTGGGCCTTTGATACGCACGTACCGCCAACAATGCTGCGATGGCCGCCGGGGGCACGTTGCCCTGAAGATCGGTAATACGTTGCTCCGACTCAGGAAATCCCAGCACAATGGGCAGATAACATAGCATCGCAGGGAACTGTGCGTTACCAACGCCTGGGATATCCGCCACAGCAAAGAACAGATCAGCGATGTGCTGTGCAGTGGTAAGAAAAGCCGTACCCTACGATGGAGCCGTGAGAGAAACACGGTCAAACTGCGGGGCATTGCTGCCTAGCATTGCTTCCAAGTCCAGGTATTGCAGAGCTCCAGAGAGCTTGAAGCATCGGTCTAATCGGGTCATAGATTTCCAGGTAGGCTGCTGGAAACTCGGTCTCGTCAAACTTCCGGAAGTACCACAGAGCCCTGCCGGATGAGCTGAAAAAACTGCCATCTGACATCTAGCCTGAGAACGTTTGCAGCTCGCTCAGCGCACTGCAATCCTGTAATTGATAGGTGGGTTGGAATTGAGGTTTGCTCCAAAGTGCGATGCTCGACACCTGTCAACTGGTGAAATGAGTTCCAGGAAGACCGTGCTTTTGGTGAGCATGATTTTGGAGCAGTATAGGAGGTGCTTCGAGCGTCTTTGTCTTCTCACCCTCGGCAGAGGTCGATTCTGCCTGGCAGCCCGTTAAGGACTTTGAGCCTTTCATCCTTTCTTAAACAAGAACTCGGATGTGCCTTGTCGCAAATGCAGCAAACACGGCGATGTCGGACTGTGGAGCCTGGTCATGTGGGAAAACCGCTTGAAGCACGACAGGTGGACCGGGGGAAGGTCGAAGCAGTTAAGTCGCCATACAAGCACAGCTCCCGAACCCTCTTCCTTGCTTGGCTCTGGAACTTTGTCAGACAATCTGGAAAGTCGTGATACAAGCACAGGTTCCTCAAACCCCTGTGTTTACATAGCTGTGGAAAGTGGCAGACAAGCACAGCTCCCCCAAAATCCCTTGAAGCACAGGTCCTCCAAACCCCTTCGTTGCTTGGCTCTGGTTCTCATACAATGCTTGGCCTGGAAACTTCTCATACAAGTACAGTTCCCCGAAACACCCTCTTGCTCAGCTTTGGAAATTTGTCACGCAACCAAACCTGCTTGCTTGGTGCTGCAAAGTTGTCACACAAGCGAAGCTTCCTGAAACCTTTAAACGCACCTCTAAACCCTGAGGCCAGCAGCTGCGACCCGTTTAGCCATCATTGAGGCGTGTAAGTTTTTGACAATTGTTGAGCAAAGTTTCTCTGGCCAAGAGCTTGTAAGTGCATTCTGTTAGCAGCGAAGCTTTGAAAGAAGCTGGAATAAGGACATTCTTGTGCTCGTTTTATGATCATGAGTGGCCGCAAGAGTTTTTGGGCAAGTTTTGGAATGGAAGTATCCGGATGTAAAGCCCCGCAGCAAGAAGTTTTGATTGCACTCAACTGGTTGGCACGATGGTGGCACTGGCATGCCTGCCACAGTGCCGTTTGTTTTTTTCCATTTAATCTTCTTGAACCTGGCCGTTGCTTCTTCAATCTTCAACCAGGTTCTCGCCTGTACGTTGCTTAGCGAAGACCCAGCAGTTGTCAGCAGGTGAACTTGTGGAAGGTTGCCGGCTACTCTAGCCTTGCAGGCGAACCGAACTGTTGGAGAAAAATGTCTGGATATTGAAATTGAGAACTGGGTCTCCGGTCTGTTCGGTGTTTTGCAAAAGGGTATTGATCTTTGCCAAAGCAGCGCCGCCATTGCAAGCACATTGAGCATGTGCAACTGTGTAACTCTGCATAGCAATTTACCGTGCCAACAGGACGCGTCTTCACAAGTCGCACAGCTCTTACAAACAGGCGCGGAAACGCAAAATAAGGATCAGAAGCCGAGTGCAGTCCCCGAACCTTCAGCCCATTTCAAAAACACAGCTCTAAGACTGCCACTCCACATCGGTGTGTTAACAGCGTATCCATAAGGAAGGCAAAGCCAAGCAGCAGGCCACAAGTCGAAGCTGCTGAACAGTGTTCGCAAATGCAATGATAAGTTGCTTTTTTTGACTTGACCAGCTTTGTTTGTCTGCTTTAGCAAACTGCAGGATCTGGAATCCGGCAGCACTGCTTTCTTTGCTGTGTTTGAAAAAACTACCTTGAGCACCAGACCTTCCGCAATTACTCGGTCGTTCAAAGCCTGTGACAGATTTTCTCCTTGCTGCTTGCAGCTATTCTCGATTTGGCATGTTTTTGCTTGGAGAGCAGAACCTGCAACAGCTGAAAAGTTACTGTAAGAGCAAACTTCCGGCACGCTTCTGGCGGTGAGGCGCTGTTTGCTGTCTGGGTTGTTGATCGCAGGCTGGGCAACCTCCATTCTGGCCTAAAACAAAGAAAATTCTTTGTTCGCAAGTGTGTTTTCCAACCCATGGGGAAATTGCATTAAAAGGCACATCCGCCACCTTTTCGAGCGTCAACGGAACGTTTCCAAACAAACCTCCAAAATTGACAACGAACGAAACGTTGATTGTCCCCTTAGACTTTGCTTAAAGGGGGTTAAGGGGAAGCAGGGAGAGCTCAAGGCGGAAGCAAAGGGGCTTTGGAAGCCCTTGAAAGAAACTTTAAAGGGCTGAAAGGAAGCTTAAAGGGGCTTAAGGGAAGCTGAAGGGCGGAACTTGGGAAGACTTTAAGAATGGCTTAAAGGGTTTAGAAGAAGAACCGCGATCAGCCTGAGTTTGCACATTTGATCGTGGGGCAGCAAAGTGGCAGAGGCAAAACAAGAGAACAAAAGAGAGAGAAGGGAAAAAAAGAACCACAGTGTAAAGGCTCCGCCTTGGCCTTTTCTTGCAAAGCCTGTAAGGGCGTCTGGGCGCAGGCACAGACTCAGTTAGGTCCAATGAACCGCGTCCACGGTACAAGGTTTTCGAAGCTCTAGAGTTCCGCGCGGACGGTGTTTGGAAGGTTTTCGAAGCCTCAGAGTTTCTCGCGCGCTCACAGTGTTTGCAACTTATTCATTTCTTACCATCGCATAAGGTGCGGCACTCGTTAAACTGCAACGGAAGTCCACTTCTTTAGGAAAAACACGCAACTTTACCTTCAAGATGTGTAATGAGTGGAGTGCTCATGCTGGAAGACTTTGCGCACACAGAGCTGCACGCACAAAGTCTTGCAGCACCGTATAATTTTGGTCGTTGCCCTTTCACACCCCAAGTTCCTGGGTGGAGGCGCTGGCGCGGATGTTCTGCGCCTGTTAGAGTTGGCTTCGCGCAAGCTCCTTCCAGCGCAAGAGCTGTTCGTAGCTAAAGAGCTTGGTCGTCCGATCCTGTCCGCCTGCTGGAACCTTTTAGGCATCTTAGGTGGCATGACTGGAGTCTAGGCTTTGCAGCCACAGGAAAGCTTTTGCGCAAGAGAAAAGCTGAAAGAAGAGCTTATGTGGGGCTTTTACAGCTTGGAGGTTTCCGGTTTGCTCAGATTCTCGAAACTGGCTTGATGCTTATCCGGTTTTTCTTGTTGTTGTGCCATATCGCCAACTAATGTCCTTGTACCATCTTGGCCTTCGAACTTGCTCAACTTGCTTCACAGAAACCTCAACAATCAATCAACTCGAGACATTCTCTTTTATCATTTCTGGTAAAAATGTCAGGATTCTCTTGCAACGCTTGCTCAAACAGACTGTGCTTGAACTGTTCCTGGACGCAGAAACGGCGACAAGTCTTGCACTCATGTGAACACGCAGAAGTACCAGCTGCGGGGCAACGGACTCTTTTGCCTCGTCCCAAGCGGCTAGGATGCGTGCGGGTCGGCGCAGGCGGTCGCTTCAGACCCCCTGCCG